CCTGCTCTGCTCCCAGTGCTGTTCTAGAAGCTTCTGAAACAAAGACCTCTGCTCATGTCCCAGCTGATGTCCATAACTGTGCTGTTAACTCTTGCCTTCCACACAGGAATTGGAGAGCCAAGCATTTTTGCAGACGGTGGAGGCTGGCACTGCCCGATATTGTGCCCACAACCTCATGGGGCTGCTAAGCATTAGAAATGGGGCAAGTCCAAATTCAAATGCTCTGTGAATGTAAACACACATGGGGATTTCAAGGATTCAGTACAAGACAAAAAAAAAATAAAGTAAAACAGCTCATCAATATTTTCGTATCGTTTTAAATGGAAATGCTATGGGTCACGATGGGTTAAATAAAATTATTTTAACCTGGTTATGTTTTTATGTTTGCTTTTTAATGGGACGACGAGAAGCTTCATGGTGGCTCTCACATTCCTACTGGACAGTGCTGGTGTATGGTCCTTATTACGATGAAGGACCCGAGACCTGAAGAGGTCCAGGTGCTACCAGGGCCCGAACTCAGGTGTTGACACAGCTACGGCTGCCTCAGAGCAGGGAGGAGGTCAGGATCAAGAGCACTGAGGGCCTGGGCACAGGCCGGTGTCTCCCTCATCTCTGCTCTGGATCAGTGCGCCTCCTACACAGCTACCTCTCAGTTATCCACGTGAGTGACGGGCCTGGCCAGGACTACCCAGTCAGCTGGCCACGGAGATCCTCACACCCACCTCTCCTCTCCTGCAAGCACAGGTCAACAACAGATAGACAGGGTGTGTTTGGGGTGAGGGGTCGCCAGCCGAGCCAGGTGGAGGACTGCCCCTTCACCCACCCTCCTGAGAGCTAGGCAGGGTGACAGCAGCTACATCACCACAAGGGGGTGGGGCTCAAGATTCATTCACAGGGCTTTCCAGGGAGGAATTACGGAGACAGATGTGGGACGGTCTCTGTGTATCTAATTGAAGAAAGGGTTTGAAAAGAGTAGAAAGTAAGGCACAAAGCAGAACTGTAAGTATTTAAGAGGAGAGGCAGGGATTGAGGGATCCTCAGACGTGGTGAACTCAGAAGCCTCTGAGTGCGTATCCCGGGAGGCAAGGCAGGGCAACTGGGAAGACTCGGGGGCAGAAGGTCGAGAATGAACTGAAGGTCAGGAAGCTTCAGGCCCTAACAAGATGCTCAGCTCTGCCTGCGGGCTATGAAGGTAGCAGCCCAGGAGCTGGGGATGGAGAACGGGGCGGGCAGGGAGAGGAGCTGACTACTGCTCTCAGCGAGCTGCCGTCTGCGGGGCCCTGAACTGGGTCAGTGAAGGCAGTGGAAAACAAACAAACCAAAAGACGAAGATTCAGCAGAACTGACCACCGAGGGCACGTGGGGAGAGAGAGGCTGCGGGTGCTGGGGCTGGAGGCCCGGCTGGGTGGATGGGAGAGGCTGAAGGGAGCAAGTTAACAGCCTGAGGGGTTTCAGCTGGGGGCCAATTAGTGGTCACAGCCTCTCAGCTCCAAACCTATACCCCTGAGGCCTCCATTTAGAAAAAGGGAGGAACCACTCAGCATTTCAGTGCAGGAGCTTCCCGTACCTGGCCCACCTGGACCACACACCTCCCGGAAGCAACCGCGCCAACCCCCCCCCCCCGGAAGGGCTGCCGTGTGCCAGCAAGCCCTGCGCCCACTGAGCCTCTGTGTGCCGGCCCTGCTCTGGGCGCCCACACGAGCACACATCCTGCCAAAGGACACAGAGCAGCCCAGCTCCTCCTGCATCCGGCGGCCCAGGCCTTTCCACGTTCCCTTCAGTACCTGGCCCAAACCAGGCCTAGGAAGCACTTAACCACTTACTGGCTCCATCCCTGTCATTCAAGAAATAAACCCTTAACGCCGGTCAGTGGCCAGGACCCCCAAAAGGCTCAGACACTGAAAACACCCTACGGGGAGAGCTGCTTAACACCTGCAACTGTTTCTTCGTATTCGCGTTTTCCTGTTGTTCCAAGAAGTTCTGAAACAGTTCTAGAGCAGCGACCGGGGACAGCTGTCCAACATCTATTCACTCGAACCGATTCACAGGGCGGGTTTCTGACCCAGTCGGTGCCAAGGTGCTTCCTCTAAACCATCTCAGCTTCAAATAGGAACTTCCTTATCAGCGAAAGAAAGAAAGAAAAAAAAATCCGAGACCAGGAACCCCCGAAGCAGCACAGGCCGCCGGCACCGCTGTAGCCGAGTGGCTGTAAACACACGAGCATGCCTTTGCCCACAGATGTGTGCTTCATGATAATGACAGTGCCGGTGTAACATGCTACCGTCAAGGCCCCACGTGGCAGAACATGTTTCCCTCCCCTGCCTTGTTTACTCCAGTGACTACACAATAAAGCAATGAACCTTATCTAACCTGAGTAATATTTTATCCCAAGTAACACCTCAGACGCTGCATGGCTTCCCCTTCACACACACACACACCCCCACACACACCCAACAGATACAGCCCCTGTCTGGTGTGAAACCAAGAAAGCCAAGCACAGTTGAATGTAACTCCCCAAACCAGTTTGGGGCTTCCACAACTCCTCTCAGCAGCACAAGCAACGCTTATTAGCACACGCACTCATAGCTCCGGGCCTGTCATTCTCTAGTGATTGACCCCGTGCACACATCTCAAAGATGAAGATAAGGTACTACTTACTTGTGCAGTTTTTTGTGTGTGTGTGTGTTTTTTTTAAGTCATTTTCTAATTCTGTATCAAAAGAGTCGTCCCTGGCAGAGCAAGGGCATGGCAGTCCACCCCAAGTTATCTTTACTGCCAACAGCTCCGTGGTGGATGGTGCAAAATGTCCACAGTCTGCTCCGGCCTTGACCTCTGGGGCAGGGAGGCTGAGTGGGGCACTGTGGGGAGAGGGGCTGTGGCGGGAGCTTCTGCAACTCGGGATGGAGCTCAGGCTAGAGCAGAGGAAGGAGGGGGAGCCCCGGTGCTAGACTGGCTCACGTGCATTCTGACAGCCAGGCCCGGGGCCAAGTCCTTCCCTGCAGAGTTCCAGACTTCATCTCCGGAGACCAGGAAGGTGCTGCGGGAGCGAGTCCGCACAGAGGGTGTCGCTGTGTCACCCCACGCGCGCGCACACTAACGTTCCTTAGGAAATTAGGGACCCACGGAGCTCGGGGCGACGATTTAGAAGCCTCTTGGCAGAAAAAAAAAAAAGTGGTTTTGTTTTTGTTGCCTGTTTATGGGACGCTCCCCAGGACAACCTGAGCAGCTCCAGGCAGCACGCTCAGAGCTGCTCTCTCTACGCTCCTGTGGAGAACGAGCGCGCTCTGCAGAGAGGGGTATACCTTAGGACACAAGTTTCAGTTATCTCAGGGAAAAGCTTGACTCCCGAGATACTAAGTTTTCCATTTTCACAAACAACAATGGCAAAGGACAGAATTCCTGCTGCTGCGGCTCAGACCGCTCCCCGGAAAGCGAAGGAAAAGTCAGCATTCTCTGGTCCCCGCCCCACCGGCTTCAGCGAGCAGTCTGTGCGGGGCTCAGCTCCCCCTCCCTCCCCACTCTCCCCCACCCCCACCCCCTGGTACCTCTGGGGACTCCAGACTCAGCACCATCCTCCTGGGGAAGCGCTCCCACCACCCTCACTCCCTTCCCAGCCAAGTCCTTGCCAAGTTGCACAGGTTGGAAGGTTAGTGCAGCCAACAATGGCCACTCTCATTGCCCCAACCCCCACCCCGGAGGGCAGCTGGGCCAAGCCCAGAGTCTCCCTTCAGGAGGATTTAATCACCTTCCCTTCACTTCCCGGGGAGGTCCAGGTTCCTAACCCACCTCCCAACTCTCCTGAATACCAACTGTCACCATACGGGCGACTACACAGCCTTCCCAACGCTGCACCATGTACCTCCAGCGCTGCCTTGTTTGCATGTTATAACTCCATTAAAAAAAAAAATTTAAAAAGCAGCAGGTCCCTAATCAAGGACTAGAGCAACCCCTCGGAAGCCTTCTCCTCCTCCGAAGCGAAAGGAAAGGGAGCCAAGCTTTCCCTTGAGATAACTGAAACTTGTGCCGATCCCTCCCGCGGGGTCCAGCCCCAACCCTGGGTTCCAGTGAGGAGGGGGGACGTGGCCCCTCGCTGCGGGGGAGCCCCGCCCACAGGCTGCCAACCTGTGCCAGGTGCGTCACCCCCGCCCCCCCACGTCCGCGATCCCAACTGCGACACACGCCGCCCGGGCACCGCTAGCCGCGTCCGCCCGCGCACGGCCCTGGCCTGGCGGCTACGCAGTTCGCAAGTTTCAGTTCCGAACGGGGCGGCCCCAGGGCGCCGGCACCGGGCTCCCGAGGAGTCTCCGAGGGGAGCGCGGCGCCCCAGGGCCCTCGCTTTGGGTCACTTTGCGGCCGCTCGCGGTGCCCACAGGCTGGTGTGAGTCCAGGAAAAGTGTGCGATTTCCGCCAGGGCCTGGCACCGGGGGCACCTCTCCCTCCCTCCCACCCCAGCCTGATACCAGCCTCACCCCCACCCCCCAGCCATGGCCGCGGCGCCTTTCCAACTGCGCTTCCCCAGACGCCGCTCTCCAATCCGCGCTGCGCGGGCCGGAGAGGCGGCCGCGCCGGTGGGAGCGCAGGTGCGAGCCCGGAGGCTGCGGGCGAGGAAGGGGGCCGGGCGCCGGCGGACTCCGGGGGGATGGGGGGGGAGCCCCGGCCCCCGCGGGGCGCCCGGCCAGCGCGCAACACCCGCCGGACGCGCGCGGGGCAGGAACTCGCCAAGTTTGCCAAGCCCGCGCCGAAGTCTCTGGAAAGTTGCAGAGCGTCTCGCCGGACCCACGGGGACGGGGGGTGGAGGGCGGCTGCCAGGAGGGAGCAGCGGGGGAAGGGGGCACCGGGTCCCGGCACCTGTCCGCACCCCCCCCCCCCCGCCCAAGGGCTCAGCCCCGCAGCCCCCAAGGGCTCAGGGGCCAGGACCTGAGACCCCCGAGGGCAGAGCGCGCGGGAGCCGCCGCTGCCATCTCGCCCCTTGGGAGGAGGGAGGGGGCCCCCGGACTCACCTGAGCGACGGGAGAGGAGACGACAGACGCGGGTCCTCGGCGCGGGCAGCTCCCCAGCAGGAGCGGCGCAGCGGTCACCAGGGCCCCCAGGCAGCGGCGCCGAGTGAGCCTCCCGGCCGCCGCCCCCTTCGCTCTTATCCGGCCTGACCACGCCTCCGCCCGCCGCCCCGCCCCCGCCCCGCCCCTGAGCCTGCCTCCCCGGGGCGCGCGGGGCAGGGCAGGGCGGAGCCAGCGCCCACCGGATCCTTCCGCAGGGGCGCTGACGGCGAGGGCCGGGCCAGCGGCGCCCTCTGATTGGCTTCCCGGGTGAATGGTTGCCTGGAGACGAGTAAACGTTCGGCGGTGGGACACCGAGAAGGGCACCGCGCAGGCGCAATAGAGGGGGGCTGCGCGGACACCCCGTGAACTTCGGAGTTGCTGGGACTCCCCTCGGTTTCTCCGTTCCGCTAGGCTCTCCTCGGCCGTTCCTGTCACCCAACTCCGACCCCCTGGACCCCCCAACTTTCCCCATCTCCGTCCCGCCCCCTCGCAGGCCCGTTTTTCTCCTGCTCCTCTGGAAGTTTCGGGTCGGTTCTCTCTTTCCAGGAGTGGGGAGTGGAGTGTGTTTTGAAGTCGGGGGGGGGGGGGGAAAATAAAATAAATGTATGGTTTCGAAGCAGAGGGAGGCTTCCTGATTGCCCGGCAAATTGGCTGCAGGTCGTTGGGGAAAGAGGCCGTGGATGGCTCGCCACCTGCGCGCCGCTGGTGGGGCCGCGGGCGGGGTTTATGTAACCCGCGGGCGGGGTTTGGATGCCACCCCTCCTACCGGAGCCAGTGGCCGGGAGTCCAGGTTCTAAATTCAGAGAACCTGGGTTTGGGATTGCCATTCACCACCTGACTCTCTGCAAAGGCCTGGAGCCACTCACTTCACCAACCCGCCAGCCCTAAGGCTCGGTTTCCTCACCTGGACGGTGAAACGGACCCACCCGGGAGCAGCGAGGTAGGGTCCCCTTTTCTTAGTTCAGACTTCTGAACTAAGAAAAGGGGAAGCTCTGCGAGCATGCCCAACATAAGGTGTGTGGTCAGTGTTGTGGATATGAAATAGTAGCTGTCATTGATCAGTACACATGTATGGAGCTTGTACCGATGGGCGGTGGGAGGAGAGCTTACTTCTCAGATGCGGTTTTTCCGTACCTGCCCCTTGCACTGCTGCCTGGAAGGAATATGCAATGTGCTATCGGTGTCTGCAGGATAAAAAGAGTTCTCACATACTCGCCTTCCCTGGGTAGGGCGGCTCCTGAAACATTAAGGAGACAGGCCAGTATGAGTGCTGGTAGAAAAGCCACGGTGACTCTCCTAGGACACGCACGCAGGTGATATGGTCTCTGTGTGTTTTTTTACTTTGTTTTTGAGGTATAGATTCAGTCAAGTGCACAAAGCTTATGTGCTCAGGTTGATGAGTTTCTACATGTGTGTGTACTCATGTAACTGCCACCCAGACCAGGACATTGGCACTCTCCGGCTCCCTCATGCCCCTTTCCCATCCAGTGTCCCACGAGGGTGACCACTGTTCTGACCTCTCTCCCCATGTATTAGTTTTACCAATATTTGAACGTGATATGGGTGAATGGCGTAGTGTGTGTACTTTTAGGTACTGGCTTCTTACACTCAATAATGTGCCTGTGAAATGCATCCATGTTGTTGCATGAAGCCGTGACTCATTCTTTTCCAATGCAGTGTCTTATTCCAGTACACAAACATTCAATAACTCATGGACTCATTCCACTGGTGGATGCTTAGCTTGCTTACAAATGAAGCTGTCACCAATGAAGCTGCTTACAAATAATCTTTTTTTTTTTTCCAGTCTGAGGTATTCGTGACAGATAAAAACTGTATATATTTAAAGTACACTACATGCTGTTTTGATATACAGTGTGAATTGATCACCACAACCAAGCTATTAACATATCCATCACTTCACATAGTTACCGTGTGTGTGTGTGTGTGTGTGTGTAGTTAGAATGCTTAAGACCAAGTATTTTAGCAAATTTCAAGTAGATAATACAATGTTATTAGCTGTAATCACTCTGCTCTAGATTAGATCCCCACTATTCATCCTACGTTTATACCCAGGATTGAATTGTGGAATTATAGAGCATGCGCATAGTAAGCTTGCCAAACAGTTTCCCCAAGTGGTGTAAGCGTTGATCTCCCAGCCAGTGACATGAGATTTCTGGTTGAACCACCACTTTGCCTAGGATGGTCAGTTTGTCTACTTTTAAAAAGGGGGTGTGGATTCCACTGGGATTTAAATTTCTCTAATAATAATATTGAGATAATTATTCTTAATAATATCCAGATGCTTGTTGGCCATTTCAATATCCTTTCAGGGAAATGTCTTTTCAGATCTTTTGCCCATTTTGGGGGGAGTTGTCTGTCACACTGATCTGTGTGTCTTTTGTCCAAGACATGGATTACAGGTATCTCCTCCCAATCTGTGGCTTCCTTTTAATTCTCTTAATGTTATCTTTTAATGGACAGGATTTCTTAATTTTAAAAAAGCCTAATTAGCCTTATTTTTATGAATAGTACGTTTCATGTCCTGTTTAAAAAAAAAAAAAAAATCTTTGTCCAGGAGTCATCTACTTAGCTTTCTTCTAGGACCTGAATTGTTTTAGCATTCACATTTAGGTCTATGATTCCGCTCAGAGTAATTTTTTGTGCAGCTTGGGAGTCAAATTTATTTTTCCCACATGGATATACAGTTTAGTTCAGCACCATCAACACATAGTTTTGCTGAATTAATGAATGAATGAATGAAATGAAATGAATGAGTGAATTGCTAAAAAAAAAAAAATGCAGTTAGGAGTGATGGGTTACTTAAAATCCAGATTGCCCATAAAAATCCAGCATACACAACCACCTTAACATGAATGCCGGTCATTATATTCCGTTGGCCCTTGGACCATTTCTACTTTCTCAATGCCTCGTGGGTGCCATTAGCACAGATAGCCTCAGGGCAGAACACAGGTCAGAAACTCTTACCTGGAATTGGATCTAGCATGGGCTGGTTGGTTCTCCCTTTGTTTGGAGAAAATTTTGTCAAGCTTCCTGACCATCAGGCAATGTTGTGGTAGGGGAGAAGGGGGAGCCACGAGCCAGAAAAGAAATTCATTCTTCGTGTGTGTGTGTGTGTGTGTGTGTGTGTGTGTGTGTGTTGTGTTTTTCTTTCTTTTTTTTTTTTTAAATACACAGTGTTCTTTCTACCTCATGAAGCTATGGCACCCTGGCGCAGGGAGTTTCAGGAAGTCGCTAGGTACTGCCCACTGGCTGCAGAACCACGATTGGAACTGTCCTTCCGAGGTTATCGGAGCCTCCTCCTTGCCCAGTGCTGGCCTCTGCTGGAGCACAGCCGACCGAAATGGTTTCGAGACCTTTGCGTGCTGAGTGCTGCTGTGATCGGCACCTGGGATTGCTGAGGAGAGAGACGCGAAGGCAGGGAAGTCTCCACAATGCGGGTTGTGCCTCCCTTGTGGCCATGACCCTGAAGAAGTCTTATGTCCCAATAGAATCTTATTTAAATTCACAGGGAAGCAAATAAATAAGCAAATACAAGGTTCTATTATTAATCCGTTTTGTAAGGCAAGAAAACACCTTGTGTACTGCCCGGTGATCCTCACTTACCAAGTTCCTCTAAATCTGGAGTTTTAATATTACTTTATCTCTAGGTGGATCACCGTACTAAATGTTTATTATTAATAAAATGCCCCGTTCCAAATATCTCTTTTAAAATGATTTTTAAGCAAAGTTTTTTATTGCTGTACACGGACTTATAGAGCATGGCATCCAGGTCATGAGAGCACAGCTCAACGAGGCCCACAAACTGAACGAACCCGTGTCCCCAGCGCTCGGACTGAGGAACGCAGCAGCAGCACAGCGTGTGGGCCAGCCGGAGCCTCCAGGGTGCTGTCTCCTCCCCACCAGGCTCTGGTGGGGTGGGCGGAGGCCGGGCCCGCTTCCCGCTCCATCTAGAACTTCCAGCAGGAAATCCCTGTCTCTTCTTGGGTTTCTTCCAGCCGCTGTTTTTCTTGGGTGGTTCAGAAAGAACACTGGTTTTAGAGTAAAAAGGTGTTTTTTAAAAATATATATTTTATTGATTTCAGAGAGGAAGGGAGAGGAGAGAGAAGCATCAATGATAAGAATAATTGATCGGCCCTAACTGGTTTGGCTCAGTGGATAGAGTGCCGGCCTGTGGACTGAAGGATCCCAGGTTTGATTCTGGTCAAAGGTATGTAACTTGGTTGCAGGCACATCCCCCCTGGGTCGGGGGGTGCAAGAGGCAGTGATCGATGTTTCTTTCTCATCGATGTTTCTACCTCTCTATCCCTGTAAAAATTAAATAAATCAATAAAATATATTTTTAAAAAAGAATCATTGATTGGCTGCCTCATGTAGACAGCCTGCTGGGGACTGAGCCTGTAACCTGGGCATGTGCCCAGACCAGGAATTGAACCGTGACCTCCTGGTTCACAGGTCAATGCTCAACCACTGAGCCATGCTAGCCAGGTGAAAGGTGTAAGTTTTATTTGGCACAAAGCAGAGAAGGAATGAACCGAGGACCGGTCAGATCTGATGGAAAGGGAGGGGAAAATAGGCTTGATCTTTGGGACAGTTCTGACAGCAGAGACACAGGGGCACCAGAGCATCAGGGAGGGAGGAAGACCAGAGCTCAGAAAGGGGGAGAAGGTGATGGAGGCACTGCCAGAGGGAAGAGGGTGGATGCTGTGCTGGCTGCACCCCTCTGAGGGATGTCTCTGAACACCCCTTCTGGCCACCTACCTGACGATGTCCCTGCAGGAAGGGGGAGGTGGGTCAGATGGCTTGTATCCCTGTCATATGGCTTCCTCGATCTGAGTCTCGGCTTCCTCACCCCAAAATGGGAACGGCCATCAGCCTTCCTGCTCCACGGAGGTGTGTGCTGGCCAAACGCGGCAGCAAACCCCTGCACAGGCCCTGGCCCCGTGCACACTGTGGCTCCCTTTGCCAGCCTCGGCCCTTTCTCATGTTACTGTCATGACACCTTGGCAAGCTGGTAGGAGGAGAGTCGGTGTGTGTGTGTGTGTGTGTGTGTGTGTGTGTGTGTGTGAATGCCCCACACCTTGCTGTGGCCACTT